TATGGTCAGCGACATGTTCAAAGTTCATGTTCAGCATATTTATAGCCGCCGGGCACTGCATATTTCAAGCATTTTTAGTCGCTACTGTGTACATGTTTCAAACATGTTCAACGGCCGCTGTGCACATGTTCACGCTAAGGAGAAATCCTTTGCCTGGGTTCGACAAGACGTTCAAAGTTCGGCGAAATGAAGCACAGCGATACGCAGGATTCTTGTAGACGTTCATTCTTCCTCTGCCAGAGGGAGGGTAAGTGACTGAACCACCAGAGAATCAGTCTTCTGTCTTCCCTCTGTTAGAGGGAGGGTAAGTGACTGAACTGCTTGAGATTCAGTCTTCTGTCTTCCTTCTGTCAGAGGGAGGGCTTCGCAGTCGCCATTGTTTAAATGAACGATAGATTTTTTTTGTAATTGTATTTTTGTGATTCAGTTGAAATTTTCATATCACATGAAAATTTTTCAACACATTTATTTTTTAAATTGTTCATTTACTCGAATATATTTTCTGTAAATAATCTTAGTACATAGTGTAAATCATAATGAATCATTTGCATTTATTATACTTATAGGTCGGGAGTTTCAGGAGCCCTTTTAATAATAAACTTATTTGTGGCACTATAATTTTAGGCAGCGATTATAACAAAATATAGGGCTACATTTAGGCAGCGATTATTACAAATTTTGAAGCAGCTTTAAGGACGCGCTTATAACAAAATTTGGGTCTGCTTTTGGGCATCGATTATAACAAAGTTTGGAGCTGCTTTTAAGCAGCGATTATTATAAAATTTGAGGCCTCTTATAGGCATCGATGATAACAAAGTTTGGGGCCACCGCAGGGCAAGCTATATATGCTCCTCTGAATGCAGTTGATCACGCTAGGCGCGGCACAGCACCTGGCACTGTGCCAGCGGTCACTTCGGTAGCCTGGCACTCTGGTGGTGTTGGTCTAGCACTGCAACCTGAGTAGCACCGTCTATGATCGTTTTAATTCACATTGTGATTCACGGAAACTTCCTGTTTTGTTTTTCACACCAAGCAGCCATATGTTGTAGGAAAAATGCAAGGTGTATTCCATATGAAAGGTGAGGTCATGAAATTTTGTGTCCCGCCTAGCTAGCTCTCACTTTGCATTGGACAAGTAAGCAGCGTGCGTTTGCTGTCGAGCTGTACTTTTATAATGGCGTTCCATTATCGCGACTCAACAAAAATCCGTACTCGAGGCTGTATTCGTCTCTGGTCGGGTTCTTGATCAGAAATAAATTTTTACGTGGTTTCTTCCGATTTGGCTCCGTGTGCTTTTTTTGTGGGGCTATCTTATATCAATTGTTTACAATGACTGTTAAAGAACCCTACCTCATTTATAGAAAGCATTTGCCAAGCCATCGCCAACATTTCAGTCAATATGTTTCAACGAGTTGAAAGGAACTTTAAAAATCGACTAAGTAAATTCAGTGACAATAGAAGACCGTCATTTTTCCGATGTCATCTATAAATTTCTATGATTCAGGTAATTTCTTTTTCTTTAAAATATATATTATAATTGTATCTTACTAATCCTTTTTTTAAGGAGCTTTCAAATAAGGAAATTTATGTGAAAAACCCTGTATTGTCTGACACCTGTTGTAATATATTGTCTATGACCCTTGCTGTAACACTCTGCCTCTGATTCTTGCTGTAACACACTGTCTCTGACTCCTGCTGTAACACACTGCCTCTGACCTTTTCTGTAACACACTGCCTCTGACTCCTGCTGTAACACACTGCCTCTGACTCCTGCTGTAACACACTGCCTCTGACCCTTGCTGTAACACACTGCCTCTGACTCCTGCTGTAACACACTGCCTCTGACTCCTGCTGTAACACACTGCCTCTGACCCCTGCTGTAACACACTGCCTCTGACTCCTGCTGTAACACACTGCCTCTGACTCCTGCTGTAACAC